GCGGGTGCCATGGACATACACATAGACAACCACAAATTACACCCAAACGAACGAGATGAATAAATGTAGGCCATACAAATATTTAATCCCGCTCGAGAATCGAACTTGGAACCTCTGCATGGCAGTCCGGCATGGTAACCGTTCGGCCACGGAGGCAGTTTACTATATTTCTTTGTGAGTGTAATCGAGTACGATCACCAAAGTAATGTTCAAGCGTGGTCATTCATTGCGGCTTTATGTGCTACTTGGCAACAAACATTTCCTATGTACTAAAAGTGTGTTTTTATAAGGAGGTAGGTATTTTATTAGGGGCACGAGAAGTAGCATCAACTCTAACGTGGTCGTGGACGATGATGATTGAAAGCAATACCTTAGAATCCAAAAAGTTGTTGATACTCCCCGAGCTGTCACTGCTACGGCACTCGATACTGTCGTCACTATTACAAAGCCCACCACTACCACTGCTACTGCTCTTGCTAATATCCGAGTCTGACTCTATCCACAACGGAGATCGATATTTGAATTTGTGAGCGTATGCGTTGAACTTCGATTCGTTCATTTTGGAATATTAAATTCAAAATACAGAATAAATCTATTTTAAATTTAGAATTCAGCGTAAGATTTAATTAATTAGCAAGCAACTGTCGAAAAATTTAATACTCCGTTTTTAAATTTAATTTTAAATATGTAAATGCACTGGTTAGTTGAAACGTTTTAGCACATTCGAAATAAATAAAAAGTTCTGCAGTTATTTCACTATGTTTTAAAGAAATTTTATTGTAAATTGATAAGTCGGTAGGTGAGGACCGACTTGAATCTAATTCTAAGATCACGGGCAGACTCCAATGATTGAATGTAGGCAAATAGGCCGGAGCAGGAGTACTATAAGCAGCAGAAGTCAGTCAGTTTAGTACAAAACCTAGTAAATTAACACCTTACGCAAAATTATTATTTACTTACAAATTGAGACTTCAGAGAATAAAGTATTAACTACAATCTTTGTATACATAATCATAACAAAACTAGTGGAGTTATTTCACAAGAAATGGCAATAAATTTTAATCGAAAAGCGACATCTGCGTCAGTTGTGATACCTGTACAGGTAAAGACGGCGGTGAGAAGGTTGTTTAAAAATCTCTCACTAGATGTCACTAGCGGTGCCGAATGCCGAGAAGTCAGCACAAAGATCTTTAACAAAAACACATAGGAAAATTTCGACGACTAGATAACTGAACCCGTGGCTCAGATGGTTAGAGCAACGCTACGGTGCAGCATGGACGTAGGTTCGAATCCCACCAGGTCGACGAAAATTTTTCTGTGTGATTGATCTTTGTAATCATAATCATACAATCTTTAAGTTACTTCGTCCTCCATTATGAAATCGTTACTGACCTTGTTTAATATCCAATTTTCGAAGAAACGACCAATATGATTGGCCTTGCATAGCTGCTTATTGGATAATCGGGCTATAGATGCCAGAGTTGTTCAAAAAATGGCCACCACTCTTTTCGTACCCTACATAAATTATCCGTTTGTATCGGATACAGGCCAGCTACTGTCAAATGCAAAGACCAAGAAGAGTGTAATCCAGTCATGTCGAGATATTACAATTAAACATCTAAATCAGGCTTTCAGACCTGTCTCTGGTTCGAGTGATGCTAATTTGGAAGATAATTTAGCTCCCTGCCTGCTAATCTGTTCCTTGACAAACATAACTTAAGTTTTTTTTCAAAACGAGCCTGAATAAACAATCCAAGATGTTGGTTGAAATCTTGCCTAAATCCAAAAACAAATGTGGTATGATTTCCGCCGGCTACGTGACCAACGTCACAGATACAGTAGGTTGTGGTCTGATGACAAATTAACGAGTGATTGAGTGACATAAAAAATGTAGTGTGGTGTTCTAGTAAGTTCTGTTTGTTTATTTAATAACTTACTGTGGATAAAGGCGTTTAATATGTTCTGTAATTAGTTATTTCATTGAATGATTACCGATTTTCCTGTACCTTACTTAACCAATAAACAGTAAGTAATAGTGTTGAAAAGACTGGAATAATTATATAAATAATACCTGTACATGGTAGGTTAAAGTGGAAAATATGCAGTGTCAAAATTATTTGCCAAAAAGCATTCGCTGCAATACCGTATTTTTTTAATAAAATCTATAATCATTCAAAAAAATACTTTGTTGTAGTAATGAGTATATAATTTAATACATTTTAACCCACTGTAAAAAGAAGTAGGTTCTCAATTTGATATATTTATGAACCTACTTCGACAATACTTTTTTTTTTTGAAAGGGGGTACCTCTGTAGTAGTTCCATTCAAATTTGAATATAATAATATTCCGCCTCTAAGGGTGGCAAACCCATTTTCCGGTAACCGATTTCAATTAAACTAGATAACCTGATGTAATTCCCCAAATGTTAGGGGTCGGCTTTTTATAAAACAAAATGGAATCAAAAAATATGACAATAAGAATGTCGTAAGAGTTTTGCTTTCGAGTGTCTACTGTCCGTTTGCAGGATGTGGCTGAGCAATTTATGGAGTTGACTTATATGACGCGCGGTAGATGCGGGACCTTTCAGTGTCGTCTCCTTGTTTTGGGGCATCGGTAACCTTGAATTCCTTTTAGAAAGTCTCTTCCTGTAATTTGTTTCGTAATTACGAAATAGAATTTAGAGATGCTCACTGAAATATGTAAATAAAAAAATATTCATGTAGATTCTTTCTGATAGATCATTGGTTACTTTAAAATTTTCATCATTATTTTATTTAAATAAGTTAAATAAGATAGAATGTTGTAATATTTTATTTACTACCATGATATTAATTAATTTTTTGTGTACTACTAAAAAACTGTAAAGTTCTGCACTAGTCTGTTATAATTATTAGTACACAGATCGAACACGAAGAAAAATTCCTTCGATCTAACAAGACTCAAACCCGCGTCTGTAATGCCACTCTAGGGTAACCGCTTACAGATCGAATAGAAGGCCTTACCAAGCTGGAATGCCTTGCAGAGGTCCCGGGTTCGAATCCCATGCTAGGAGAAATATTTGTATGGTCTATATTTATTTCTCTCGTGAGTTCTGTGTAATTTGTGGTTGTCTACAGATATTTATTAAAATACATTTATCTCACACAACACTCTTTCTGACACTTTCCTACTGTATAAAGATTTGAGTTGTGACAAAAGTGATTATTAGATTTTTTTATTCCTCTGGCAATAATTTCTTAGTTTAAGACCAGTGAATGAAATATTTGACAAAACTTAGAAAATTTTACTTACAAAATTTCTCTATAATCTATTTTCATGCGTTTTTATAATTTTGAAAATAATGTGGCCAGAGGAATCCCTTGTAAAACCATTCTTCAAGAAACACTCGCGAATTTATACAGTTGAAATGTATATCATCATATGTCGAAAAACATGTCGTATTTCGACTGAAATTTATATATCTCAATCCTTTTTAACACTACCGGAAAAGATAACATACTTTGGTAACTTTTATCAATAAAATCTAAATATAACGATAATTAGTAGCGTCTTCCAGTCCTAAATATCCTAAGTGAAATAAATATCCAATAGATTGATACGTAACTTGACATAACGTGATTGATAATGGTTAGTATATTGACAGCCATATCAAAATATGAAATTTATAATTGTAAACAAGACGATTAAATTATTCCACTCACTATTTCTCTATAAGCCATTCGCAGTGCTTCAATCTCTTGCTGTCCAAGAACAGGCGCTGACAAACCCCTATGGAAATGACGTCTGTACATCACTAGATTTTGTTCATTTTTAGCTTCATCAACTTCCAAATCACTTTTATTAGTTTCAGTCTTGCCTTCAGGATCAGTAAACCTTATTTCAGGAGTAGGAGATCTATAATCATCTTGAAACTTGACGACAGTCGGGCTTACTACTACTACAACGTCTGTATTAGAGGATTCAGGGTCGTCATCAATATATGGAATATCATTAGGCGTTCGATTAGCTTCAAGTATAAGTCTTTTAGTTTCAGGTGGCATCTCTGCATAGTCTCCAGGATAGGATGGTATTCTCAGACGTAAATCTGGTCTCTTTCTTACCCTCATTTTGATCGTCTTTTTAGGTTGGTTGGGTTACTTAATTTCAGTAGCAACTAAATTTACAAATATTTCATTGACGCAGTTCTTAATCTAAGATATGACGATAAGCGTTAGATCAAGGCTACGAGACTAAGGATTTCATAGATCTCCTTTTAAGAAACCAATTTTATCTTGATTAATGATCTCATAAATCACTTTTAGTTAGTCACTGTTTGTTTCACCATTATTGAAGTTACTGTTATCAATTATCACTTCATTCAAACTTTATCACAGTAAAATTTATAAATAGCGTAATCTCAAAACAATAAACTTTACAGTTCTGTCACCAGAAACATACTAATTTAAAATGACATAATAAGTTTGTATTTTTTTCCGGTTGCTATTTTATCAAAATTCACTCATATCTTATTGATAAATGGATACGTTTCGTGATATAATTTCTTAGCTTATCTTTTATCTTTGTTTTTCGATCCTCGTCTTGGTCATTGCCATTGTTTAGTCAAGAATTACGTTCCTTCGTAAGAATGGGACTAAACTAACAGATGCGTTCTATAACCTCATATTGTTACACGATTAACGTTTAATTGTATGTGTAATTAAGATACCATTTTGATGTTTAAGCTTGATTTGATATTACAGTTCTTTATTTATGTAGGTATATATTATTATTGGTGATTGCCACGTGCTTGTCTTGAACCTAATTCCAAAACAAAATCCAAAGGCATGCCTTCTAATTTTTTTAAATTTAGGTGTATCTTGACATTTATACAGAACTAAATGATTTTAGTGTGACATAATCATACATTTTCGATAATATCCATATCCTTAAAGTGCATGAAATTCATTCACTTATTTCATCTAAGTATAGGCAAATTATAATTGATCATAAAGTCACTTACCCCATTCTGATGGCTCTGTATATACTGTTGTCGGATCATGTCAATCTCGCTCAAAGTCGGCATTGATATCGAGTTTCTTCTCAAACTTGCCTTCCTCTGCTCCACTGATGTCACCTCTTCACCTCTCTCCACAGTTATCAGGTCCTTCGACTCACCCGCACCAAATGCTTTAGAGGTACTAGGAGAAGCCGTGTTAGTAGATTTTGTACTTGGACTTTTTGAACTTGAAGTACTGGGTTTAGTCGAATCGGGATCTAGAGTAATATAAAGCGTTCCTTCTGGAGTATTTACAACTATAGTGTCACTATTAGGCGATGATCGTACAGAACCAAGATCAGTAGCATGGATTTTTCCATCTCTACTTGGTATTAGCGGTTCTGTTTCTTCATTATCGGAATCTTCGTCTATATTTCGTGATACAGGTTCAATTCGGACGTTATTAAGTTCATCGTTGTCATCGACGTATGGGATGTTTGGATTATTTCGAAGATTAGAAAGTGATTCTGTGTTTTCACTATGAGATTTTCCATCCTTATTTCCTTGTACTGGCTTTGTTTGGATATTGTTAAGTTCTACAATGTCGTCGACGTATGGGATGTTGGGATTCTTTCGAAGTTCAGGTGAGTTCAGTCCTTTAGCAACTTCTTTGTAGGGTCTGCCGTTGTCCATCTTCAGTTAGGGGTGCATAGTCGGTTTCTGAAATGAAAATTATGTGGGATTAGTACGGAAAACGTTGAAAGCAGAGCAAAATATCTTGCATATTTAAAATTAAATGACAGTAAGTACGACGAAATAATTGTCTACGTCTACTCTAAACAAAATATTCACTAAAGTTCCTTAACAACATGTGGTTTGTTTGAGTAACATATTAGATAATAACATATTTGAACTGTTTATTATACACTTCTTGAAAACTATAAAACTGTATATATTTGTACAAAGCAGCGAGGTAAACAATATTTCGGAATATTATAGCTTGAAATCGATTTCCTTCACTTTGATAAGTGTATATGAGCTTTATAAAGCGTATGTTGGACACGCTCGAGATAAGGTTCCGTAGTGAATAAATAATTCGACGTAATTACGTTACCAAGTTTATATGATATTAAAAAAATGCTATTTTTGACAACGACTCTAAGTAGAGTCATTAGTATTACACTAAGTAATAATAACGCACATACTCATAACCCCGCATTAGGGAAACCCTGTATCGCGGGTGCCATGGACACGCGCATAGCCAACCACAAATTACACCCAAACTTACGAGAGAAATAAATATAAGCCATACAAATATTTCTCCCGGCCCGGGCATCGAATCCGAGACCTCTGCGAGGCAGATCAGACAGTTAGTAAGTAAGCCATGGAGTCCGTTATAATTTTAATATCAGCCGCTCACGCGATTCATGCGTCTCTGGAAGCATACCACACCTAGAGGTGCCGGTGATGATTTTATACCGATTTATCGGTTATCGAAGTTATAACAGGTAAAATAACTAATACTAATTGCTATTTCGGTAACTACTCTAGCAACCCATAAAGTTTTTAATGCCTGGGTCTGTCATTTAAAAAAAATAAACAACTTCAAAAATATGTCACGACAATCGTGTGTGTTATTGTTTGGGCTGGTGATGTCGGTGTTTATTTATTGAAAACATACCGTAAGTTGCATTTTTTAAGTTTACCCTGAATATAAATGTTTATAAACTATACTTTAAGGAGTAATTTCATGGTAAACATTAGAACCACTCAAACGGAATATTATCATATTTACCCAAGTACACCAAAAATTTCATTAGTGCTTTTTAAGTGCAGGATTTGCGGTGTATTACTGCATTTTATTTGAGATGTTTTTGTTGATAGTACGGAGGGTATTTATTTAACAATGCAGAATAATAATTTTTATTTTTAAAAACTTGTATTTAAACTGAATCCTTTTCTAATATGCGAAACCAAATAGCCGCCAACTTGCGGTAGGATGAGCGCATCGCGTTAGCGGTTAAAAGTTTATTTTAAACAAAAGGTTGGAGGAAAGAGGAAAACAAGGGGGAAAGTCTAGAGTGTTTAAAGTACGTGGCTCCTATGATATGTTTGTTGGGTTTTGATATGCCAATTATTTCCCTCAATGTAAATGTAAATTATTTTTTGTTATATTCTAATAGTATAGGGGTCGCGGGGACAAGGGAATTTTGAAACCATAGGGATAAAGGAGATTATAGTAAACAAAACAAAAATGTACATAAATTAAAGATAATGTAAATTAAACTCACAATATAATAAAACAAAAATCAATTTCCATTCACGACACTGACTCGAACCCTAAATTCACAACACTAACTCAAACTCACTTATCAAATTATAAAAATCGAATTCCAAATTCGACCGAGGCGATGCCCAGAAATACTCACTGGCCTCGGAGACTGTTTGCCCACAGCTAAGAGATTAAACCGTTTTCTCGCTTGGCTAATACTTTTTATACACACCATATGACGTAAGTACCATAATAGTGTTTAGTTTGATAGCAAAGTATGGGTAAAGACTATATAGTGATAATTAACGGGGAGATAATTTGTGAACTGCAGTAAGTAAGTGCGAATATAATCATACAATATACTTTATATCACCCCTACTTTTCTATATGAGACCAAATGATGGGACTGGTGTAAATTGCACTGTCACTCAGAGCTTAAAATCGCAAAAGTCTAAGGGGCACTGCCGCTGCGGCCGTCACCCAGCCGCATAAGTTGACAAGTCCTATGTGTCCTGTGTGCCTTCCAAAACTCATGATCATCTACTCAAATATTTCGTATGCCCGTAAAAATATGCGTAATTTCCTTGAGAAAGAAGATGACCATAATATTAACCTTAGAACTAATCCCAAACTCATACCACGATTTCGTTTAGCTAAGGTAAACGATTCTTTTATGGGGAACTGTATACGTTTTTACAAAAGGATTGCTGTGCATATATTAAGAGTTTAAAACTTGCATTAAAAGTACTTTAATTGAAAAGTCATATTACAAAATTGAAGAGTATGTTTTAGATAAAGAAGTATGGAAAGACAACAAGAGTCTAGATTCCACACAATTATGATTCAAAGTGTATTCCATGGCATTTAAGTTTATTTGAAAAGAGCAACTCTTAGAGTTTCTTGGTCGTTCTTCTCAGAGAGGTTAAAAATTACGTTTTCAAGGGTAAAAATTTTATCTATGGAATAAATTATTGTTTGACTTTGCTCACATTACTTGTTTGGTGGCAGAAATAGATAAGGTGGCACTACTTCCCTGGACGAACTCTTTCTCGAGGAGCTCTACTGCTACCAGCTCTATCTTTAACTTCACTGTCGTATTCGACGTTTTTGTAATGAGTACGACGTATGATCTTACACAGTTTTCAAAAGCGCATATTCTCCACTAATTGTATGTGAGTATATAACTCATTGTTAGATCGAGACGACTCCAGATGTATAGTGGTGCACCGAAAGTACGTCTCATTAAAGAATCGCCTAATCGATGATACGACTTATGTTGGGTAATTTGGGTAACTTTGTTCAAAACATTTTTCAGAGAAATGTCACAATATTTCCTTAGATCCGGCTCGATTCGAAGCAACGTCTTCCAGGAAACCGTACCAGACGCTATGACAACTAAGCTACGAAACGAACTAGCGGACCTTACGAATATTTCTATATGCTTGTTACAGATTTTTGGTTTGTAACGACTTCTTTCCCGTAGCACCATCTGTGATAATCTATTTCTTCATTCAGTCAGGTGCCCTTACAGCTACCAGCAGCTGACAAGAGATGGCGCTTTAATAATTGTAATTTTAAGTTTTATTGAATGTAACGTTATTTGAACATCATGATATTCAATTACTATTCTGAAATTACTCCATTACTTTGTTATAATTGTTAATACAAAGATTTAGAATACTTAAAAAAATTCTTTCGGACATCGTGACATTCAATAAAACTTAAAAATTTTATCACTATATTTTAAATATATAGGAAAACAAATTGAAATGTATAATTATGTGCAAGCGACCTTTAAACATTCCACTCAGTTTCACGACTGACATACGACCCGAAACGAGACAACAATATAATGCTTCAGCGGCACTTTCCACTGTAGATTTTATAGACAATTTTAAAGAAAATACATTTATTTGTTTTGCCACAAATGACGTCACAAAAGAAAAGCAACGAAACAAAATATGTATGATCCAAAACAAAACACAAACTATTCACATGACAAGGACATTAAATGTACCTAACGACAGTTTACGTGGTGCCAGTTGACGTAACAAATTTTTCATATTAGTGAGTATAAACAGTTAGGTATTAATTTGTTGTGAGTCTAAATTATCTCTCAGTGTGGCCTAGACACCTTTAGCTGTTATTAGATCGGTTTTGTAAGCCTGCTTGAGTAAGGAAACCATTCTCAGTACACCCTTGTTCCCTTTCCTACTACCTACGTTCATACTTCTAACCATCTCTTATTCAGTATTTCTGTACAGTTTGTCAGTTCAATATACATACAATATCTACGCTTTCACCATAGATAGAGATATCTATGGCTTTCACATACATTCACTAACACTTATCGGCAAACCGTAAAACATAACACAAAAATATTCACAAATATATTGTTCGTTAGCGATGTTTACATTTTTTCTACGTGCTATTTTTTTCCATAGCCGGATACTAGTTGCAACACGTGACAAAAGAGGGAGCCGTTGGTAACTGTAAGTTTTAGGCCCAACTCACACTGGCGCAGAGTCGAAGTGTTGCGTCGCGTCCTGTTTTTCATTCACAACGCTTGGCGACGCGTGTCGTCGGGCGTTAGTACGCCCGGATCACAGTGTGGTCGGCGCCAGACGCCTCACTACGCTCAAGTGACGCGGTTCGACGCCCGTTTCCATATTTGCATAACACAAATTTGTGAATGAATATACACAGTCAGGTCATAAGTATTGTCACACAGTAAAAACTTTTCTTTTAGAATGCTGGCCACAAAAAAGTTTATTGAATTCGAATTTCGAATTATTCATGAAAATAAAAATGTATACTTTTTAGAATTTTACTCATTTTTAAATATGGAGTGGACGCTTAAAGAAGACCGTGTTGCAGTTATTGCGTTGCATCGTTGGGGTTACGCGCCAATTCAAATTTTTGACATACTGAAAAATTTGAATATAACCAAAAGATTCGTTTATCGTACCATCAAACGATACAATGAAGACTCTAGTGTAGATGACAGGTCAAGAAGTGGTCGCCCTCGGTCTGTTAGGACTCCAGCAGTGATAAAAGCTGTGAAGGCGCGAATTCAAAGAAATCCCAAACGTAAGCAGAAACTGTTGGCCCTTCAGATGGGGTTAAGCAGAACCACAGTGAAAAGGGTGTTAAATGAAGACTTAGGGCTTCGGGCAAATCGAAGAAAAACAGGACATCGTTTGAATGCTCGTCTAATGGACCTGAGACTGAAGAGATGCCGCGCTTTGTTGAAGCGGTACGCGGGAAAAAAATATCGGGAAATTCTTTTTTCAGCGTAGAAGAGAGCTACAACAAACAAAATGATAAGGTGTACGCACACAGTAGTGAAGAAGCGAGCAACCGTATTCCGCGTGTCCAACGAGGTCATTTTCCATCCTCGCTCATGGTATGGTTGGGAGTTTCTTATTGGGGCTTAACAGAGGTACAT